ATTTCAGGTACAACAGCTCTATATTTATTATTAAAAAAATAAAATTATTATTTAAAATTTAATTATTTTTAAATAAATAAAAAAAAATTTTTTAAATTATTTAAGACAAATAAAATCTATTAGTATTTTATTCTAAATAATAACATTTAAAAATATTAAAAATATATAACAAAATAATATAGCTTAATAAAATATTATTGTAATAAAAATTATTAAACAAACCAATTGTATTAAAAATTAAAAATTTAATTTAATAGATAATATTATAAAGTTTTAAAAAATAGATAAAATATTAAATCTTAAAAAAGTAATAATAATTATAATAATAAAATTATTGCTAACCTATATTTATAAACATTAATGATGCTTATTTTAATATATAGCTTTAAAACTTAGAAACTTTTTAAAATCCTTTAAAATGACTTTTTTTAAATCTAAAACTTGATTAAACTTAATTGTATTTTAGGAAAACCTATTAAAAATTTAGATAAATATATTTATTATAAACAAATAAATTAATTTCAAATATCTTGAAAATTAAATTTTTTAAAAATATTTTAGGAAAATATTTTTAATTAGCATATTATATGGGAACGTTTCCAGTAAAATCAAGTCATGAAGCATAGTAAATCATATGATCTATAATGTGATTTTACTGGAAACACTCCCATATAAATGCTTTACTTATATGATTTTAGATCTTAAAATTAAAAATTCATAAAATATTAATCGAATATTTATATTATTATTATACAATTATCTCTCTTTCTATAGTCACCTCTGTTATAATCATATTTACCTATATAGTCATACCAGTTAACTGTCCTAAAATTATATATATAAAATTTACTTTATATAATCACTTTCTGTTTATATTCACTATCATACATATTCTTAAAAACTTTATATTTAAAAAGTATCACATTCAAATTTGTCAACTTATTTATTTAAATTATCTATTAGTAAGCTATTCTATTACTAATCATAATATTTTAAATAAAAAAAAAATAATAAGTAAAAATGATTTTAATTTCTGAAAATATGTAAGTTTTATTATATAAACTAAAAATAGTTCCCAACTTATAAGTTGTGAATTAAGTTTCAGATTTAGATTACAACTATTATGAATTTTTAAAAATAATTCTGCAATATTTACAAATTTACAATATCTACAAATTCACAATTAATTTGCAAATCTATAATTAATTTACTAATACAAAATTAATCTGCTATATATGCTATAATGCCATAATAATTATTAATATATAATTTATAATTTTAATATAAAAATGTTAATTTATTTTATAAAATATATATATCAAATTTTATTAGATTAAATAAAAATAAAAAAATATTTATAAATATAAAGGTTCAACCTGCATAAAAAAGAAAAAACATTAATAAAATGTTTCTTGTAATTAGCAAAGAAACTCATTGTTTTACTTAATTATTTTTCAAGAGACTATTCTGAAAGTTTAATCTATAAAATAAAAGGAATATTAATAAAATGTTTCTTTCAATTAGTAATAAAACAATTGATTCCACCTTAATTCAAATATATGATTAAGACTTTATTTGAATAATAATAACATATCAAATTAATTATATTACTATTAAATCATTTCAAATTGAATAATCTTAAATTCAAAAAAAAGTAAGCTAATATGAAAGCTTTGCAATAAAAAGGGAGGAAACTCTAAAAAAATTAAAATTTTACTTTCTAAGCTAATTATGAATTTTTTTTGTAAAATAAGTCCAGATTTAATATTAACTCAAAAAAAAATTTTTTTAGAATTTCCTCCCTTTCTATTGCAAATCTTTCATATTAGTTTATTTTTTGAAAAACATTTTAATTGGAAATTTTTACAATATGATTTATCTTAAATTGCACAGTTTAGAGATTTACAAAACTTACAAAAAGGTAAGCATCAGTTGCTTTTTTTTATTTTTTTAAAAAATTATTATAGAAACTTATTTCTGATTCCAAAACTTGAAAAATTCTGAAATTCTATAAAAAGGTAAGTATTAATTTTAAAAAAAAAACTAATATTTTCATAGAAACTTATCTTCAATTCCAAGACTTGCAAAAATCTGGAATTTTACAAAAAGATAAGTATTAGTTTTTTTTTTTTCTTTTTTTTAAAAAAATTTCTTAAATTCTTTTCTCCTTTTATAGCAACTTATTTTTGATTTTAAGACTTGAAAAACTCTAGAACCTACAAAAAAAGGTAAGTATAATTAGTTTATTTTTTATGTTTCATTTTTTAAAATATATTTTAATGCACTTACCTTTCTAGAGATACTAATTGTTACAGTTATGACTGGTTATAACTGTAAGATTTTGACTGATTTTGACTGACGATTGACTAAACAATTTTTAATTAGTAATCTAAGAATTCTTTGCATTTAATTAATAATCATTTTAATTATATAATTTAATAATACTGTAATACTTAATATATATATTGAGTTAACCTAAAAGAAATAAGTAAAATATATAAAAAATTGGAGTTTTAGCAAATAATATATTAGTATTATTTAAAGCTTAAATTAAAATTATTAATCAAGAACTTTAAATTATATTATTATTATATAAGTTGATCAACTAGTTAATATAACTGGTTGGTCAGTCAAAGGCCTCTGATTGACTATTGACTGACTATTAACTGATGATGATCAATCATTATTATTCTTACACCCTCTCTCTAGAAAATTACCTCTGATTCCAAAGTTTACAAAAATTTGGAATACTACAAAAAAGGTTAGTATTAGTTTATTTTTTTAAAAAAAAATTTCATAATCTTTTCTTTTTATATATAAACTTTCTTTTGATTCAAGATTTGTGAATCTACAAAAAAGATAAATCATACAGTGCAAACAACTTAGTCCTAACAAAAAATTTTTAAGCGGCCAAATTTGAAATGTCGATCCTTTGTCACATGATAAAAAATCTTGTAATTTTATTGGTCAGTACATACGCACATGACAGAAATATCAGGTATAATAGTCAATCACAATTATATAGTCAATTACCATTGACAATAGTCAATCACACTTATATAGTTAATTACCATTGTCAATAGTCAATTATAATTATATAGTCAATCACATTGTTAATAATCAATCACTATTATTAAATAGTCTAGATTAATTATTTCTTTTATCACAATAAATTTCTTACTTTACATTTTTGTAAGATGTGTCTTTTTTTTTATAAAAATAAAAAACTTTTTATTAAATAATAAAGAATAATACTTATCTTATATGATGTACTATATATAATATTCTCGCTAACCAGATTTTATCAATACTTCCAATTTGTTAATATACCACATCTAACAAAATGTAAAAAGCATTTAAAGAAAGCTTGTAAAACAAAGACCATGAACTGAAATATCCAAAGTAATATTGATAATGTGCAAATCAATGTTAATAATGTTAATGATATATCTGTTCATGATGACTCCAATAATGTTGACCTTTCTAAAGTTAATGATGATGCTGATAATTTTTCTGTTTATAATAAGCCAGTAGAGAATGATGAAGCTGTAAATATTGTAAAAAGACTTCAAGAAGCAGCAAAAAATATATATCAAGAATATACCTCTCATAAAGCACGTAAACTGTGTTATGTTGGTAATTCAAGCTGCACTAAAAGAAGAAAGAATCAGCAATAGTACGAAGTAGCAAAGGGGACCCTTACATTAGATACTTTTTGAAATACTGAGAAATCTACTGAGGATATTAATGTAGAAATAGATAATAGTATTAATGAATAGTCAGATGATGAAATTGAGGATTACAATTAGCATAATAGGATTTCAACTACTCTCAAAAATCTGGAGTTAGATATCAAAAAAGAAAACACAAATAGTGAGATTTGAGTGCATTTAAATAGCATTCGTCTTTACCTTCAACTTGTAAAAAACAACTACTCAAAAATGGAAGCAAGTAATCTTGTTACTAATGTAACTGGAAAAGGAGTATATCATATCAGATGTGTTCATTCTTGTACACATAAATATGTAACAACTCACTAAATTCCTTATTCTCACTGATAACATCATGCTAAAATTGGAGCTTTCTTTGGGATGAGGATATCCTCCTTTAAGTAAAATCATATGTTCAGGAGTATAAGTGGGATATTACTCTACAAATACTAATGATACAGATGAATGAGGTCATTTTATCAGGTCTTGGATTTATGTCATCTTCGACTATACATACCAATACTGCGAATAATTATTTGAAAAAGCTTTGGTGCATAACATCTAAAGGCATCCAAATTTAGCTTGGATTCTAAATGTATCTAGTCTTTCAATTTACATATTATTAAAAAATCAAACTGATTTTTATATAATTTAAGTTATGTTATTTTAAAAAATCAGCTTACATTTTGATTAGCTTAATTATTTAAAATGTTATCAAGATTTAAAAATAAGATACATTATTAGTAATTACAGTGAACTCTTGATATAACGAATTCTAGGATCTGGATATCAACTTCGTTATAAGCTTATAACGAATTTTTTAAAGAATTTAATTGGCTAGTTCACTATAGTAAGGTAATTTTAATATATTTGATTTAAAAATTCACTGTATCAAGGGCTCGCTATATCAAGGTTTGACTGTAAACAGATTCAGACTGATTTTGCAAGGGTTTTTACAGGGGTATATTTAGCATTCAACCAATAAAAATGTGAGATTTTATCATGTGATTACATCAATTTTCATTCTCGTTTCATGTTGAACTTTTACGCGTAAAACTTTTAAATAATTACATTTACATACACTCGCATATATGATTATTTTTAGAATATTCGTTTAAACACATTTTTGATTTTATTGTCTATTTTTAAAAAAATGCCATCTCTTTCTAAACAGAAAAGAAAATCAAAAACCAATCACATATGGGTTAGTACGTACAAAAATCAGGTTTTGATCATATGATTTATATAGTCCCGCAGCATAATTTTTGTATGTACTAACCTATATAGCAGATGGTAAATATGATGCTAAAAGAGTATGTAAATACGATTGGAATTTATCCACATCCATGATGTCGATTAATAATAATTATAAAAAAAATTTACAAAAAAAATGATTGTGGTCAGTGTGGCGTAGATGGCACAGTTACTGCATCTTATAATACTGACTTGTTTGGTTCCTTTGGTGATGGTTTCAATGATGATTTCAATTCTTTTGGTAATAATGATAATGGTTCTTCAGGTTACTTTTTCAATGATATTTCTGAAGATAATAAATGTATTGATTTTGAGTTCTTAAGTGAAGAAGAGTAGGGTGATGATGATGATAGTGGATGGGATGATCCAGAAAATATGGAAGATGAAAGTAAACTCTATCAAAAATTAAAAGGACTTTATATAGTATGGAAAATTGATAATGGATTAGAAAAAACAAAGCGAGGATCATATAAGATAGGCAAGACACCAAAATCAACCTATTATGATAAATATGGACTAAATGGCTTATTTACTAAAGCAGCAAACAATACTAAAAAAATCACAAGTTTTTTATGAATAATAATACTCGAGCTACAGATTCACAATCACCTGAACCTATTGAAATAGATGCTTCAAGTGATTCTAAAAGTGAAATTATTGATCTATATACCTATCGAACAAGTGAAAAATTATAAGAATTAAAAGAGCAATTAGAAAAGTATTATAATCAATTAACAATCGTCGAGTATAATTATAAAAGAGATATTTTTGAATACCTTACCTTATTAAATGATAATAACAAACATGGAAGGATTAATGCTAGTTTAGAGGTTGCTCAAAAGGTTTTTATTGATGGTGATACATGAAAAGTGAAAAAAATTCAGCATTTGACAAAATATTGGTTACTTAATAATAAGTTTCCAATATCAAAACGTGAAAAATATCAAAAAAACAATTAGAATCAAAGATGATGAAAACATTGCTGAGAAGTATCATATTTGGATTTGAAGCCAAAATTTTACTGCCACACCAGCTACATTTAAACAATTCATTGAGTAGAAATTGCTTCCTAATATTGAAATAATGAAAAAAAAACTATTAGCTTAATGACTGCAGTAAGGTGACACAAGATTCTTAGATATTCATTTAAACAGCATCATCAAGGTATATATCACAATGGATATGAAAGACCCGATGTTTTGCAATATAAAAAAGAATTTTTAGAAAAAATGTTTGAGCATGAAAAATACATATCAAAATATGATAGTGAATTTATGGACTGAATATGCCTTAACTTACCTGAAGGAGAAAAGAAAAGTTCTTATAATTTATGACGAATGTATATTTTATTCAAACGATAGTAAACGTAGAGTATAAACTAAAGATAATTATAAAAAAAGTGAATGGAAGATTGATAATAGTTAGTGAATTTTTAATGAAATTAATGAACCTTTACGTTTACAGCAAGCAGATATAGAAAAATATTCTAACGTACCTGAAGAAGCACAATGTTACCTAAAACCTGGTATAAACTAAAATGGTTACTGGACAAATGACTATATTCTTGAACAAATTAAAAATAAGGTGATTCCTATTTTGAGATATTATATCCAGATTGTGTAGCTAGCTGTATTTGCTTTCGATAATAGTAGTAATCATATCGCATTTAGTAAAAATGCATTAATGGCAAATAGGATGAATTTAGGCTCAAGTAGAAAGCAGCCAGTAATGCGAGATACCTATTTCAGATCAGATAACCAGTTACAATCGATGATATTTCTAACAACATATTCTGATAACAAATTACAAGGCAAACAAACCTAAAGGAATTAAGCAAGTATTAATAAAATAAGGAAAATGGCCATCTAAAGGATTGTTATTAGAATGTAAAGTATGCAAAAAAAATACAAAATGATTTATGAGTTTCCTGCTGTACACGTCAAGTAATATCTCTAGAATCAGATTTTCTTGCTCAAAACAGTGCAATCGAAGAAATAATTGAAATGCTAGACATAAATGCAATTTTTTCCTAAAGTTTTATTATGAACTAAACTTTATTAAGAGATATTGAGAGCCACTAAAAGACATTTGTGTAAAAATTGTAATTATTCATGGAAAGGATTGCAACAAATGATACCCAAAAGTTTAGAATCAGTACCTTTGATAATGATTAGAAAGTTTTCATGAAAATATTGACAATATATGAATCTTTATAAAAAAGGTCTTAATGGAAGATTAGTAGAATATGTTGTGATAAAATACAAATCTCATCGAAGAATTCCAGATAGTATTTTTGAGGAGCTGAATAATACTCTATAATGAAAAAAAAATTGGGCTGATTTATAAAACATATAACACTTAATATTGACCAATAAAACTAAGTCACATGATTAAATCACATAATTTTTATTGCTTAAAAATTTCAGACTCGATTTACATTTTGGATACCTTTAGATATTATGCATCATAGGATATATGTACATTAAGGTAATAAAAAAAATGCACGTAAACAGACATGAAAGGTAAGATGTGATAGTCTATCAAAAAGTATTTTTAGAATGAATGAATGGACTTGAGAATAGAATGCCCATTTTCTCAAAAGATAATTTGAAAAAAGTAACCTGACCAGACAATAATATGCAACTGCTTATCCTTGTTACTAGGGTTTCTCAAAATCAAATCGAATCAAATATTTAAGCAATTTGAATTGATTTGATTTTTCAAATCGAATTGAATCGAATCAAATATAAATTATTTTTTAATTTTTACAATGATATATTAAAATAAAGTTATTTAAAGTTTTAATTAAGAAAATTAATAGTAATTGCATTAAAAAATTTCAAAGATTTAGTAACAGGTAAATTTTTACTATTAAACTTAATAAAATAATTCTGCGGTTTCAGTTTGCTAAGAAAGTTTAGTAATAACATCATTGCGGCTTCGATTTTACTAAGAAAACTTAGTAATAATCACCATTTCAGCTTCGTAACAATTTTATTAGTAAAAAAACATTTCCAAAGCCGCGAAGGCAGTTTTTACTATATTTTTCTTAGTAAAAAAAGCATTTCTGAAGCCGCAGAGACACTTTTTACTATGTTTTTCTTAGTAAAAGACATTTCTGAAGATTTGGAAATGGCTTTGCTATTGATTCAAATCAAATCAAATATTTGAATACTTGATTTGAATTTGATTGAATCGAATTAAACATTAAGTTAGATTTGATTAAATAAATTATTCTTTGATTTGAATTTAATCAAATCAAATCAAATATTCAAATATCAAATTGAATTGCAGAATTCTACTTGTCACATACGATAAATGCATTTTCTCAGCTTATGATGTAAGTCAATGCCTTTAGATTTCTAATAGAGAGCAACCTTTACGAAAAAAAGGTAACAGTTGCTTAATTTATGTTAGCGATTTCTTAACTAAAGTTTGTGGCCGTCTTGCCTTTTCTGACAAAATGCAGATATCAAATATTCCTAAAATAGCCTGTGTCATTATATACCTGAAAAAAATAATGATAGATAGTGAAAGGCTAAGAACTTAGTAAATCAAGTGATCGAATGTGCTATACCTATATTTGAAGTTCATTTTCCAGGATGCCAGGCATTATTTACGTTTGACAATTCATCAAATCATTCTACTTTTTCACCAAACGCACTCATTACCAAATATATGAACCTTAGCCTTAGAAGAAAGCAGCCAAAGATGCATAATACATATTTTGGTAATAGAATCCAACAAGATATGGTTTTTACATTAGACCGTCATATTCCTAAATTATGTGAACAGCCAAAAGGATTAAAACAAGTTTTGATGAAAAGGGGATTATGACCAAACGAAGGATTAAAATTATAAGAAATACAAAAATTAATAAGTGAGTAACCAGACTTTTTAGCGCAAAAAGGACGACTAGAAGAGACTATTATTGCAGCTGAACATTAAGTTATATTTACCCCAAATTTTATTGTGAGCTTAATTATATTGAAAACTTCTGGGATACAGCCAAAAAATTTAGTTAGCTACATTGTGATTACTCGTGAATAGGATTACAAGAAACTGTTTTATTAGCTCTTGCCTCTGTTTCACTTACAACTATTCGCTAATATGCAAAAAAGCTTTTTATTACATAGATGTATATTGGAAAGATTTAACAGGCAAAGCAGCAGAATTTGCAGTTAAAAAGTATTGTTTACACCATCGGGTTCCTGATTCAGTCTTACAATCAGTTGATATTTAGTAAATTAGTTTTTGTTTGCATAAATTTATTCACATTGGCTATAGGCAAAAAAGAGAAAATATTGTTATGCAAATACTGATAATAACAATTAATGCAAAATACTTAATAAACTTATTTTTTTAAAACATTAATGCCTTTAGATTTTGAAATGAACATTTATTATGACAGAATACTTTACTGTGACAGAATAGAAGACAAATTTGTTTTATTCTCAGCAAAACACAATTAAAGGTAGCCAGTATTACAAAAATGTAAATCAGCCAATCAACAATAGGCAATATGATCATGTATTTCATGTGTAGAGTGGCTAAAATATCTGATTTAATAGTAAAATAGTCTGACTTTAAATTGTTAGTACTCAACCAAAAATCATTTTATAAAAAAACTAAAGTCATAATTTTGTTAAGTTTGAGTTATTCTATCATTCTATGATCATATTTTATGCTTATCATTTTTTTTTTTGAGTGAGTAGTAGTAATTTGAATTTTATCAATTTTATTTGTTGGGACTAAGTTCTTTGCATTGTATAGTGATTTTTTTTATTTTTACTATATTAAACTCATCATTAACATTATTAGATACTCTTTTATGAAAGAATCAGATGAATAATTTTCATTTTCAGATGAAATAAAATCAGAATCTGATAATATATAAGCAATTTTAATTAAATTATTAAAGTTTTTTCATGTAATAATTTTGATGTTTTTTAATGATATATTTAAGAAAGTGATTGAATATAAGAAAATTGATTATTATTTAAAAATTCTGTTACTCAATATAGTAAAACCTTAAATAAAATTCGATATTATGATTAAATTTTGATTAATAAAAAATTCAACTTGATTCTATTCAAAGGAATCGATTTATCAAAAAAAAAAGGGATTACAGTGAACTCTTAATATAACGGATTCTAGGATCTGGATATCAACTTCATTATAAGCTTATAATGAATTTTTTAAAGAATTTAATTGGCTAGTTCACTAT